TTCCCTCAAATTTTTAGATCGATGTTGTGGCGCAGTCATTGCTAGAGCTTTCCATTTCAGGATTTACTAGTGAACCGGACCTATTGAGGAATCTGTGAAGTGCTCGGCCCATCGTTTCCTTCGGCCATCGAGTCTGACAGCAGCTCGTTAGATTAGACGGTGTGTGACAGAACGGGGTAAGCTTCCGTTTATCACTGCTGATGATGTTCATTTTACCATACAGCATCTTTCAGTCAAGTTTCTTCACTGCGTTTTTCGGCTTCTGCCTTTCGAGAGCCATCATCGCTTGTCCTCGCGATTGCTTTCATTGATAAATTTGACGAAAAACCGATATGCTCTTTTTGCCTCTTAGAGACAGCTGCATTTCGCCGCATTTTTTTGCTGACGTCGATTTGAAGTTCGCGTCATGACCCATGGCTGCTTCGTCCTGTTTCCGATACCAATCGTCGTAATAGCAGCAGCGACGACGCCTTGCTCAAGGCGGTGTAAATTAAATCTACGTCTTGACATGTCTTTGAGTCTGTGGCAGCCAATTTGTTCTCGATCTCTATTCCGAAAGTCTCGCTAATGATAGGCTCCTGGAATTTGTTCGTGTCAAAGCGGTCGACGCCTCCTCCGCTCGTTTCCGAAATGTACTTCCAGCCGTGGACAAAGGAGGGCGAGCCACCACTTGGAAATGGTCAGTTACAATGTCCATATATTGTTTGACCCGAGTGGAATTATGAGGCATTTCGCTGATTAGCACGTGATCAATCTGGCTTGTTAAGCAACCTCCTGGAGCCATCCACCTACGTAGCGTAGGTCTAACAGACAGTGGCCGTTATTACTCCCAACCCCGCTGCCATGTCGCCCTAGCACACGGGGCCAGTTATCATGAGATCGGTGTCGACAGGGCGATCGATGCCATGGGACTGAACTAAAATGTCTATGAAGTTATTCGTAGAACTTGTCCTGATTCGGTTCCTCTGTAACGCTGGTATGGACGAACACAGCAATAATGTTCGTTCGAGCGTGTTTCTGCTAGTCAGTAAACAGTGCGTTCGCCGCGCGGGGCAGCAGAATTATAAGCCAAGCTTCGTGGCGGTAGTTCTGG